CCCAGGCGGGTCTCGAACCCGCGGGCTCAGGCAATCCACTCACCTCAGCCTCCCAAAGGCGCGGGATTACAGGCTGAGCCACTGAGCCCGGCTCCTTTGGTCATTTTAGAATCAAGTCTTTGTTATTATTGAGTGTTAGAGGTTGTATATGTATTCTGGATATTAGTCCCTTATCATGATTTGCAAATATTTTCTTCCTTTCTATGAGCTAATATTTTACTCTGGCTAACAGAGTAATTTTATGCACAAAGTTTTTAACTTTCATAAAGTCTAGGGTTTTTTAAAAATTTTTTAGAAATGAGGTCTTGCTGTGTTACCCAGGCTGGAATGCAGTGGCTATTCACAGGCATGATCATGACACACTACAACTGGCCTCAAGTGATTCTCCTGCCTCAGCCTCCTAAGTATATGGGACTATAGGTGCATGCCACCACACCCAGCAGTGTGTCTATTCTTAATACTGTGAAGTTTTATACTATTTTTTCCTAAGAGTTTTGTATTTTTAACTCTTACACTTAAATCTTTGATCCGTTTTGAGCAACTTTTGTATATGTTGCTAAATAAGGGTCTAACTGCATTCTTTGCATATAGATATGCAGCTTTCTCACCCAACATTTGTTGAAAAGACTGTCCTTTCTCCCACTGAATAGTTTCAGCACTTTCGTCAAAAATCAGTCAACAATAGACCCATGGTTTTATTTCTGGACTTCTAACTCTATTCCATTAGTTTATGTGTGTGTCTTTATGCCAGTACTACAATGATTTTAGATCTGTAGTTTTGTAGTAACTTTTGAAATAAGGAAGTGAGTTCTTAAAACTTGGTTTTTTTTCCAAGATGATTTTGATTACTAAGGGTCTCTTATGATTTTTTCTTAAAGGTATGGGGTACAATTCAGGATTAGGTATACAAGTGGTCATCGTGCAAGTAAAGTTTGGGCCTCCCTTTGGTTCCCACTTTGCCTGGTTTGAGATCAGGCATCCTTATTGATGTTGTGTTCTCTGCCCCCTACCCCAGCAGTATCCTGCTACCGCCAATTCCTTTCTTATAGTATTATGGTAACTGGTCAGGGTCTGCTTATGAGTGAGAATATGTGGTACTCTGTTCTTTGTTTCTGTGACAGATGA